TGGAATAATCTACTTTATATTAGTCTGTCCAGCAAATGTAAAAACAAAACACAGAAACATGTGAATTCTCAGTCCTAATTTGGATGTATTTGAATTTCATTTGTTTGTTTGTTTTAAATAAAGGCAAAAGTTTATAATGCAAAAAAAAAGCAACCAAATCTGGATTACAAGAAAAACTAGTATCTTAAGCCCTTTTTTTAAAAAAAAAAAATAATTCTATTCAATCATGTCCAATAATATTTGTAGCTCAGGATTGAACTGTGGAGTCCTTGATGCTCTCTGAACTTGGTGGTTTTCTTGCAAACGTTTTATTACCCAATCAGAAAACATCATCAGGACCCTAACACTGATGATGTTACCTAGCTTGGTAATGAAACGTCTGCAAGGAAACATTTTGGAATTCATTGTTGGAATATATTTCTATGCAACAACTACAATAGTATTATTCAGCCAGTAGAATGACAGTGTTTACAAGTTTGGATCTATAGTATATACTCTTGTGTTCTTTTGTTCTAAGTAGACTTTCCACTTTCCTGTTACAGTTAAACAGTTGAGCAGTAAAGCACCTGGTGATGGTACTGTTTGTTTGGCCTGTGGGGCTATATATAAACAGAATTTCCAACAAAACCACCAAACTCAGAGAGCACCAAGGACCCCTTAAACAGTTTTTGCTTTTGCAAGACAAGTGTTAGTCCCTGTAATGCGATTCTCCAAATTAAGCTCAGAAATATCTATTCTAGATCCCGTCAAAGAGTACGGCTGTGCCCCCTGGCCAAGGTTTGAAGATTTAATTAAGAAATGTTTGAAAGAAAATCCTCAAGAAAGACCTACGTCTGACCAGGTAGGCCTAGTCGACATCAATAAATGAGACACAGATGTTCCAACGCTACATATTTTAGCTGTCATGGTTCCGCCAGATGAAACTCTTCAAAGAACTTCAAGGCATTGTTTACCTTAAAGAATATTTATTAGAGGAGCATAGCATCGGCACTCACAGAATCGAAGCCAAAAACTGGATTCCCCTCCCCTGAGCACATAGTATCAAAGCACAATTCCCTCCTCCAGTTAACAGTCATAAATCACATTCTCCAATTAGTTTGAAATGCAGGCTTTCCCTCCAGCCCACCAATTCTTATCATCTCTTATTTCAATAACCTTGGTTCTCATGCTAGGTTTGGTGCTGTTATGTCTAGCTCAACTCTCATGCACATTCCTCCCCCCCCCAGCATCATCTAACTCTAGCTCTAACTCTAAGAGTAAAACATAAGAAGAAAATGGTTGCATCTCCAACTGTTGTCAAAGCAAAAACATCCGATGTTAGCAGCGTTGACATTAAGCACTAGGAACTTGTGCACGCAAAAACATTTGGCAGAAGACAGACGCTGACTAATACGGTGTCTCCACAGGTTTATGAAACGTTGAACTCTGCAGAGCTCGTTTGTTTCATGAGACACATTTCGGTGCCCTCTCCTTTTGCGTCGGAATGCATGGTGGCCACAAACCAAAGTAACAAGAAGACCGGGATCTGGATCGGGAGTGGTGGCAGGGGAGAGGCCCAGCTCTCGTTTGTCGACGTAAACACAGACGAACGCACCTGCGAAGTAGGTTTCAACGTTGACATTCAAAACTGATGCTCCGTTATGTGTTGTGCCGCTTCGGTGATAAAAGGGAATACAGGCAGTCCTCGACTTAACGACTGCAGCTGAGCCCCAAATTTCTATTGCTAAACAAGACCGTGGTTAAGTGAGTTTTGCCCCATTTTACGACCTTACTTGCCACCGTCGTCAAGTCAATCCCTGCAATTGTTAAAGTTAGTAACACGGTGGTGAAGTGGATCTGGCTTCCCCCGTTGACTTTGCTTGTCGGAAAGTCGCAAAAAGGGGATCACGTGACTCCGGGACGCTGCGACCGTCCTAAATATGAACAAGTTGGCAAGTTGCCAAATTGCGATGCTGCCGTGATCACAAGTGTGAATGACGGTCAGGGGTCGCTTTTTTTAAGTGCTGTTATAACTTCCAACAGTCACTAAACGAATCATCGTAAGTCAAGGACTATCTGTACCTTAATTATTAGCCCTCAAAAGAGTCCTTTCCATTTTCGTCTCCCCAATCCATTCCTTGCTGGGGATTTTTTTTATTTAGTTTTATTCATTTGTAACTTTAAGACAGTTGGACTTCAACTCCCAGAATTCCCCCTATCTGGGCTGGAGAATTCTGGGAGTTGAACTCCACTTGCCTTAAAGCTGTCGAGATCGAGGGACACTTCCTTACATGCTTTAATTCAGGGGTCCCCAACGCCTGGGCCACGGCCCATTTGGAACCGCACCCACAGCTCCATTTCTACAAGTGGCAGGCAGGCGTGCGAGTCTGTGAAGCTGCATTTGTGCAAGCAGCAAGCACGCACATCCTCTGCTTGTGCAAATGCCACTGTGCGTGCAAGCACGCTTGCCCACCGCTTGCGTGGAACCGTTCCCTCTCCCTCCCTTCCCCTGCTACCACCGCCACCGGTCCACAAAGCCAAAAAGGTTGGGGACCTTTGGTTTAACGAATGAAGCCACCGTAGGTCAAAGCCATGAAGTGCCTTTTAGGATTCCTATTCCTGTTTTTATTTTTTTATGGTTATGGACAGAGGTTCCCTCTTTTTCTCTCCTTCCTCTCTTCCCACAGGACGTTGAAGACAGTAGAATATTATGTTTGGCCTTGGTTACCTTTTCCGCAGCGAAGGAGAACTGGGTGATTGCAGGAACCCAGTCAGGATCCCTCTGGTCCTTTCACACCCAAGATGGGGAACGCAGGCATCACTTTCACACCATGTCAGATTCGGTCACCTGCCTTTACTGCAGTCCCTTGTCAAAGCATAAGTATGTGTCAAGCGCAAAAGATCAGGCCTACACCTGAAGGTCCAAGTAAACTGATTTATTGCTAAAAACCTATGCCCAGGAATCTTCTCAACGAACAGTTAGCACCTGGTAGAGTTAGATAAAGGGTCAACTGAATTCAAGGTGGGCTGGGTTGAGTTTGCTTGTGGCTACGTAGGGATTCTAGACTGAGGCCTCTTTTGACTCCGCCCCCAGATTCTACCACTCCTTTTCCTACAATATGGCTGAATTGATATTCCACTCCATACCGAACTTTGCTTCAAAAATACAGAAATATTGATTTTTTAAAAAATGATTTACTTACTTTCACCCGTATTTAGACATTATTGTATGATCTGAGCACCGCGTGACCAGAATTGTTGCTGACTTTCAGCAAAGGGCTAATTGGGGGGGGGAGGGCTGAGGTTGACATATCTAGCTTGTTCTTTTAACGCACGGGCTGGCAATTTCAGCTCTTCTTATCTCCAGGGTTACACTTTTAAATGCATGGCTTAAGTGCTACGTGCCTTCTTTTGTTGACAAGTTTGTGCATGTTCTCCTTCAATTTCAGCAAGTACCGGAATATCTTTTTGGTGGGCACAGCCAATGGACAGCTGGCCATTTTTGAGGACAGAGCAGTCAAGGTATATATATATATTCACTACAGCCTTCCCAGAAATATGTAATTATGACAGATGTGTGCTTGTAATAAACACTGCCTTTGCATTAATATAGGACAGGGGTGTCAAACTGCCGGCCCGTGGGCCGGACGCGTCACCAGGAAACCACGCCCACCCCATTGCCGGCAATGGGGGAAAAGCTCCGATACGTCACGCTACGTTACGTGATGTCGCGAGTTTGACACGTCTGATATAGAAAGTTTATGCTTTCTTAAATCTTTTTTTTTTTTTTGCAGAAAATTTTATTTATTTTTCCATCATAAAAAAAACAATCATAAGTAATCACAATAAACAATCAAAAACCCCCCACCCCCCCACCCCCGACTTCCCAAACCTAATCCCAGGATAATATTCATATAAAAGTAAACAAATACTAATATCTCTAACTCCACAAAATATCTTAATCTACCAGAAAGGATAGAAATAAACAAACTTAAAAAAATCTAAAAACCTAAATTATATTCTACCACTCTATGTTTCTTTTGAATATAAACAATCCATCTTCTCCATATTGATANTTTGGGCTATTAGCAATCTGGCAGCAGATAAACAATAAAGCATCAAATTTATTTCTTTTGCATCTAAATCTTGCACAATACCTAAAAGAAACAACTGTGGAAGAAAAATAATCCTTTTTTAAAAAATCTGCTGTAAGTTCCACCATAGTTGTATCCAAAAAGCCTTAATGACCTTACAAGTCCACCACATATGAAAAAAAGTTGCATCTGGATGACCACACCTCCAGCACTTGGATTCATAATTCGGATAAATACGAGACATAGTTGAAGGATCCAAGTGCCATATGCTTTCTTAAATCTTGACAGATGCTGTTCATAGCAGGAATGGAGGAAGCTATAACACGATATGGAATTGCATAGATTGTCCTCGAATTAGCAGCTGCCAGATCCACTGACTGGCGAGGAATCACAACAACTGTGTATCTCACAACAAAATTTAAGTGCTGTCCACAGTGCACACTACACACAAGTAAAAACACACATTATTTAGACACATCCTTCACATTCCATTCACCCTTGCGCTGCCCCTAATATCGCCCTTCAATGTCGCACTGTGCAGTAGTATTTAATATGGTTACAGCTCTGGGATTAAAAACTATTTTTCAGCTTATTTCTCTTTGATTTTATTATCCTGTGGCTGAGGAATTCTGGGAAGTGAAGTCCACACCCTTTAAAGTGGCTAAGGGTGAGAGAAACATTGGTCCCATGAGATTTTTCTCCATAGACATGCACTATATTTGGCCGATCTTCTACATTCTGAGTACCACCCAAATAACATAAAAGTGAGATTATTTGCAAGGGCATTTCAGGTTTAAAAGTGCTGAGTATGTGTCTGTATACTAGTGATAGCAATTTGAGGAAATAATGCTTTGTGTGATATGATAGCAGTCTTCCAGTACTTGAGGGGCTATCACAAAGAAGAGAAGGTCAACCTATTCTCCAAAATCTGGAGAATAGGAGAAGAACCTACAGGTGGAAGATCATTACAGAGAGAACCAACCTAGAATTAAGGAGAAATTTCCTGACAGTGAAAACAATCAGTGGAACGACTTGACTCCAGAGGTGGTGAGTGCTCCATCACTGGAAGTTTTCAAGAAGAGACTGGACAGGCATTTGTCCGGAATAATATAAGGTCTTCTTCTTCTTGTGTCATATCCGTTATCGGACGTTGGCGATCATGTTGGCGATCCTGTTTTTATCAGCAGCCGCACAAAAAAGTGCTGCTGAGTTTTGTCCAAACCCTTAGATTTTGAAGCCACGATGTTCTTCTTCTGCCTGGACCTCGTTTGCCTTCAATCTTTCTCTGGAGGATTAAATGGAATATGCCGTATTTTTCTGGGCGTTGCATCACATGTCCGAAATATTCTAATTTTCGTTTTTTAATTGTTTTGATGATTTCCCTTGGCTTTCCCAGGCGGCTGATCACCTCTTCATTTCTGATCTTGTCAACCCAGCTTATACGTAATAGCTGCCTGCAAATCCACATTTCAAATGCTTCTAGTCTCTTCAGGTGGCCTTCTGTCAGAGACCAACTCTCTACTCCATAGAGCAGGATAGAAAAAATACAGCATCTGACAAGCCTGATTTTCAGTCTTAGGCTTATGTCGTGACTGCAGAAGACCTTTTTCATTTTGAAGAATGCTGTTCGAGCTTTCTCTATCCTTGTCTTTACTTCAGCGGTCATGTCCCAGCTTTCATGTAGATTAGAACCGAGGTGCGTGATCCTTTCCACTTTTTCTAGCGGTATTCCTTCTGAAGTTATTGGTGGTAAATTAACAGGTTGTTTGCTGACGACCATGATCTTGGTTTTTGAGGTGTTAAGCTTC